CACACAGAAACTGTCAATCTAATACGTGCTTTCAACGTATTGAGACAATATGACTTGGAATTAGATTGTCGTACTTCTCATGTATTCATGTGCAATTATCTAAATATAAATGGTATTCTTATCGAAGGTACATCAGATCCATTTGGACGCATTTGGGTAGCTAATATCATACGTAAACAAACAGATCACTCATTACTCATTGAAGCATTAGTATTTAGTACAAACTTTCGTGATGGATTTAATATTGTATCATTTCAACAAGTTTTACCAAAGAATTTTATTCATCGTATGACTGGAGCGAATGAAATGATATATAAGTTTTTCGAAGATTGGAAGATTAGTTATGAACAAGTAGGGAAATCGATGAAAAACATATATGGTATTGGACTGCGACAACAGTTTAGTGTTACAGGTAAACATCTCGCTACAGAGTATGGTTATAATATTGTGACTGGAAAAAAGTTTTTGAAGAATGGATTTTTGATATGGCTATTGAAACCAGGAAGCAAAGGTGTTGATATCGATCAAATTACTTATAGAACTACAAATCACAAGAAAAAATAAGCTTCTACAAATTGTTCTTTTCCTAGTGTGTATGTACATGCAGTTTTCAAAATATTTTTGATATGATGAGAATAGTTCTTTTACTTACTGATTTTATTTCAAGTAAATAGCTATTAATAAATGAGCGGCTAGACTGTTAACATAAGCATAACCATAAATAAAGATAAATTTTATATGTATGCTAAACACTATAATAACTTACTCAAAATAAGAAGGCCGAATATAAGATTTTTTGCTATTGTCTAATGATTTAACTTTTTTTTGTGTTGAATCAATGCTATGAACTTAACTCGATGATAATTTAATGAGTAGTTTTTCAAAAGATTTTTATTGATGTTAGACCTACGCTCATATCACCAATGTAAATATTGATGAAAATTTCATGATTTCATAAAAAAAAAGATATTGAAGCTTTAACTATGAAATCCTGTTAAAAAGCTTTTTTTTGTGAGCGACAAGCTAATATTTTTTTAACGCGTATTCAGAGTAAAAGAAGTAGCATCATTTTTCATTAAATTCTTCAATGTTTATCGATTTTTACACGAACATACGAAAATGGCAAAAACAGTTTTCTGCGACTATAATAGAAACTAAAACAAAACTCTAGGAAGAGTTGTCGTAACATTAACACTTGAAATATTATCAGATCCATTCCTTCACTACGATCCATGACCATTCTCTTCTTTTATTTTACCAAATTCTCCAAAATAAATTGTTATGACTCACTATTCAATATTTATGTTCTCGCTTTGATACAAACATGGTTCAAAAATAACACAGTTTACCGTAGAAAATAACATAGAAGAAAACTAATCTATACTGTGCGAGTATGAAGAAAAAGTCATTTTTCGTAAGGCTATTTGAATTGCATCTGCTTTCAGTTTGAATACTTCGATAAATTTGATGAGTTCTATTTGTTAAGTAGCAATAATAATTTAGAGAAAGTGTTTCGCGAGCAATATTTAATTATTTTCTATTTTTATTTACATTATTTTCATGAATATTTGAAAATTGATTAAAACTACTAAATGCTGTTTAAGAACTTATTTTTGTTTCAGTTCGAAAAGTATTTATCGAACAAGATGCTTTTCAATCAACGAAACCGTTTTAGTGGATGCAAAGTAACTATTTTTTTTATAGCATGGAGATGCTATTTATGTAAACAAGCAAAAAGTTTTCAATAGATAACAAAAAGCTGAAGAAGTGGAAAACTTCTTAGTGCCAACTTGCTTAGTTACTTTATGAAGTTGACGAACTCTTAGTGTAATGTTAGCTAATATTGAGTTGGATGATGAATTTTTTGCCGAATTTGATTTTTCTCTAATTGATAGTTGATTGAATAGTTTTTGATCGATCTGTGAAATCATAGCATGCACTACTTGGCAATTAATGTTGCCGGACCAACTGAAAGGTTAAGTCCTTTTTACTGTTGTTCTTGATTTGAAGACTTTTTTCTTTTTTATGTGTTCTTGCTATGGATAATGCTGATAGAAAAACTAACTGTTAATGTTAAGTTTGCTGTCAATCTAACTTTGTACTTTGATATTTGAACTTTCTTTTTACACTAAACAGATTCACTAATTTCAATCGTTGTCAAATAATGAAAAGATAGAAGAAGTAAAAATAATGTTGAAAACGTTATTAAAAAAACCGACATTTCATCATGATAAACTACTGTACACTTTAAGCAATGCATTGCT